GTGTACTAAAATTTCAGGCAATTTTTTAAAAAGAGTTTACAATGTGATTCATTTTTACTTTTTAAAGATTAATTAATTAACCTGCTATTAAACTAATTAACCGAAGGTGTGCAATATATGTTTAACATATCAAATAAATATTAAGTCTACATTTAAATTATTATCTTATTAACGTGATATGCTTTTTGTTCCACGTCTGTTGGTTAAATGTTTATGGCTTTTTCTGACATCTGTCAATCACGAGGTAGACGTGTCCATGACACGAACAGTGTTGGCGAGTAACTAGTTACATGTAATGGCGTTACGTAACGTAATTTAATTACAAAATAAATGTAACTGTAATCAGTTTAATCAGTTTAATGAGAAAAAATGTGCAATTAAATTAATAATATTATATTTTCATACACACCCACATACAGTTTTAATTGATTTCTTTCCCAAACTGCTTTGACTGCTCTAACACAAGTTTAGATCACAAAATAGGACACATGATTATTCTGTTTTATTTCTTATTTGGGTTTATTCTTTATTTTTTAAGATTAACTGTTTTTCCCCCGAAGGCATTGTTAGATGCCAGTGTTTCCTGTCATAACTATGCAAAGATTTGATTTCAAAAACAGTATCATAGCGATTAAACTATATCTTGTTATGATTTTAAATCTGTATTTAACCTTAGAATGATCTCAAAGTAAAAAGAGGTGCTAAACTCTGATTTTGTGGTGGCTGTGCTTTAAAAGTAACTCTTCTGTAAAAGTAAAACTACTGTAAGGTTAACCCTGCCTGGTGTAAAAGTTTAAAAACCATTAACAGTTGAAAACATTCCTTAGAAATTTAGAAAAGTAATCAAAAAGTAATGAAATGTAATCAGTTACATTACTTTAATAAAGTAATTGAAATAGTTACACTACTTATTACATTTTAAACGGGGTAACTTGTAGTCAGTAACCTATTACATTTCCAGAATAACCTTCCCAACCCTGGACACGAAGGGCAATGGAAGATCCCAAATCTATTCAGAGGAGGTTTGAAGCGGCTGTTAAAGTGATCCAGAGTTTACCTAAAGATGGTATTACCTCTTTATTAAAGGAACACTCCACTATTTTTGAAAATAGGTTAATTTTCTTTTAAACAGGAAAAATATAGAAGCTCTTTGGTCATTTTTGAGCGAGATGCTAACGGTCTAATCAGATTCAATGATCTATGCTAAGCTACAGCTAAAAGTGCTACCGCCAGACCCGGAGATCGGCTGAATGGATTCAAAAACGGTAAAACTCAACTGTTTAACTCTAGGGGAGTTGGAAAATTAACCTATTTTCAAAAATAGTGGAGTGTTCCTTTAAATATTAAATATCAGTGTCAAGTATTGAACTACATGGTTTTCTTTTTAAATAGCAATAAAAGTTTATTTTAATCATTCTTTCCTCATTTCACACAGGTTCCTATGACCTGTCTGATGAAATGCTGGTTATGTTCTACAGTTACAACAAACAAGCTACAACAGGACCATGTAACACCCCGAAACCCAACTCTTGGGATCCTATTGGTAAAGCTGAATGGTAACTATCATCCATTTTTAGATGATTTTCGACTACATGATAATTTTCAGCTGAATTTGGTGTACATTTCAAATGAAATGTTTACTTACAGTCATTTAATAAAATTACACCGGCAGATAAAATAAACAGTTTGTCTGTTATAATCTGTGTGTTTGAAAAATATGATTTGATGTCATCATTCTCACCAAATATCACACAGATGACTCAGACGATGAGATGTACAGTGACTCAATGGAAAATACAGCAACACAAGAGAAGGTACAGTCTCCAGTGATGTTTTCAGTTCTTTCACAGGCTCAAGAACATATTGCACTTAAAAAAAAATACATTTTGCAAAATGAAAATAAAAACTATTGTAGAAAAATTATAATTTTCCATTTTAATATATTTTAAAAAGTAACGTATTCCTATTTATTTTCAGTGTCATGGTCCTAAAATTTTTAGGCTTCAATTGGATTACTGTTTTTTTATTTATTTTGATGTTCAGTGTGACCTGGACATGTTTTTGTGAGATTCACTCTATAGTACAATACTCATAAGGTCTTTCAAAGCTCTTATTAATAATCTGATTAACGTATTAAACACTTTTGTGTTGACTTTAGTACTGAAGTCTTCAAATTCAGACAAACCCTTGAAACAACAATCATTAATGTGATTCATAAGTTGGGTTGAATCCATAGAATCCATCATGCTATGAAGTCACTCCGATGCATCATACATCACCAGAGATTTGAAAGTGTTAAGTGATTCTTGGCAAAAAAACAAACTATGACTTGAATCCTGGGCAAAAACATGGATTAAGTGACATCAACTGCAGTCCATCAATAGATAGTTAGTACAGGCTTGTGACATTTTTTGGAGAGAAAGAGAGAGAGCGAGAACTAAAGGAAGAAATGTATTTGTTTGTCATGTCAGAGCGATATAAAGGGGAGTATGTGATGCTTTCCCTAGGGTTCGGGAGTTCACAGGGTCCATTTGGCAGATGTGAGCGTGACTGGGGCCAACACGCAACAAGGGGGAAACAGAGAGCCTCAGTGTGGGAGTCAGGATGGAAAACCACAGGGAGTTACACCCCCTGTCCCCCACCCACCGACACTTGGACCGGTCCAAACTGACAGAATCTCAGCAGGCAGTGGAAGAAGTTGGGCTTGAATCAGTGTTTGAATGAGTCTTGAGCACCATCACGTCAACAAGCAATAATGTGATCAACAAGCTAATTTTCCACATAAACTTACAATGCGAGTGAATACTATTATACTTCTGCTAGGAATCATTTCCTAAAAAGGCAAGACTCTATTACTATTGCATCGTGGCATTTATTGTAGTCTATATTGATATTTATTTCCTTTCATCAATGAGCTGGGATTCATATAATAACAAGAAAGAAGTCACACTTTATACTTTGAACCCTGTAAAGCCTGACATATGAAATAATAGTCAGAAAAATCTTCTTTTTTTTTTTTTTTTTTAAATGGCACAGTTTAATGAACCTAAAAAAGAGAAAAGAATGTTTGATATATTGATACATAAAAATTCATAAAATTCTGATGGATCAAATAAGATATATCATATTTAATACTAGGGCTGGGTATCGATTCAGATGTCCCGATTCGATTCGATTTCGATTCGCAAGCTCTCGATTTGATTCGATTCGATTCTTGGTTCGATTTATTCAAAAGTAACAGTAAAGTCATTTATAATTTACAAAAGATTTCTATTTCAAATAAATGCTGTTCTTTAAAACTTTCTATTCATCAAAGAATCCTGAAAGAAATGTAGCATGGTTTCCACAAAAATATTAAGCAGCACAACTGTTTTCAACATTGACTATAATAAGAGGAAATGTTTCTTGAGCAGCAAATCAGCATATTAGAATGATTTCTGAACATCATGTGACACTGAAGACTGGAGTAATGATGCTGAAAATACAGCTCTGAAATCACAGGAATAAATACATTTTGCAGTATATTAAAATAGAAAATAGTATTAAATTGTCATTTTTACAATATTTAAATTTTAATTGTACATTTTACAACATTACTGTTTTTTTTACTGTATTTTGGATAGGTTTTGAATGGTAGTGTTCAAAATATTGACACCGTTTCTATGGTGTATTAGGTTGTTTATATATGAGCAGGTAGTCATTGCAGTCATTTGAATATATCTCAGCCTTTAATGATCCTTTTCTGACACATTACACACATTTTTCTCAGAGTTATTACATTCCAGACTAGAGGAAAAAGAAAGTCTTTTGACTTTTAAAATATGGGCAGAAACCAAATGCCAGGGAAGCTCGTCTGTTATAGCTTTTGGAAATGGAGATTAATTATAAAAATAAAATGTGACCCTGGACCACAAAACCAGTCATAAGGGTCAATTTTTTTTTAAATTGAGATTTCTACATCATCTGAAAGCTGAATAAATAAGCGTTCCATTGATGTATTGTTTGTTAGGATAGGACAATATTTGGCCGAGATACTATTTGAAAATCTGGAATCTGAGGGTGCAAAAAAAAATCAAAATATTGAGAAAATCACCTTTAAAGTTGTCCAAATGAAGTTCTTAGCAATGCATATTACTAATCAAAAATTAAGTTTTGATATATTTACGGTAGGAAATTTACAAAATATCTTCATATGATCAACATGATTTTTGGCATAAAAGAAAAATCGATAATTTTGACCCATACAATGTTTTTTTTTTTTTTTTGGCTATTACTAAAAATATACCCCAGTGACTTAAGACTGGTTTTGTGCTCCAGGGTCACAAATGTGTGTGGACAAATTCACTGTATCAAATTGAAAAGCTCAGACTGTCTTACTGATATGAATGTCTTCTGGCATATATGCGGACCATTAAATCTACGACAGTGTATGTAGTATATTTTTTAAGCAGCAGACATACAATACTTATGTTATTGTTATTGTAAAGCTGGTAATTCTTTTGTTAGATGAATAAAGAATTTGAATGGATAATTGTGTTTTTGACTGCTTAAAAGAGACAGACAAGACAGATAGACAGGTAGATAGATAGATAGATAGATAGATAGATAGATAGATAGATAGATAGATAGATAGATGATGGAGAATATGGAAGATTTGTCCTAAAATCAAAGACAGTCAATGTCGGCCCATTGAGATACTGTAGTGCTTTCCACACAGACTCAAATATAGGGAGCACAATAACAAGCTGGTAGTGTCCAAAAACTTGATAATACTACTTAATCAGGATGTACACGGGGTAGAGAAACATTAAACCGCTGTAGAAGGTGGTCTGAAAGCCGCAACGTCCATTCAAAGACTATAAATTCACTGGCTAACTAGACCGCTACCTTTTTTATGGACATAAACACTAGGACAGATAGTTTGTGCAGTCAAGATCACTACTATTGTGGAGGTTTATGAATATTAATTACGTTCGCCCAGTAGACGTCGCTGATTTCGCATGGATCTGACGGAAGGTGAGGAAATAGCAGCAGTACTTACATTTTAGCTAGAAGTGGAAAACATAAAGTTTTTCAAAAGATTCATAACCCTTTTGCCTTTTTTCTTTTGAAGTGCGTAAATGGAAAGAGGTGGTTGGTGTTTCCTGTCCAGAGTTACAGGCGGTTCTGCTGGAGGGTCGAGAGAAGGAAGGAGAACCAGTTCAGATGATCTACCCTTTGCCTTCACACAGATCCATCAAACACAGAGTAGGACACCGTCAGGATGATACTATCATTTCTAAGCAGCTCTTGGGGCCGTGATGTATTAAAGCATATACAGTATAAGTGTTTTACGCGGCACCAAACGGAATTGAAAGAAGAACTGTTTCCAAACAGGTTTCCCAATGGGGCTGTTCACACAGAATGCTTTTTCCATTACATTGTGCTACTTTTCCATTGTTTTTCTATGTAAACACATGATAGACGGAAGTGTTTGACCGTTGTCAAAAGGTGTTGTCAAAATGGTATCTGGCAAGGGCCCGGACCTTCAGTAGTACACTTGCCCGAGACTTAAACAAGGTCTCATACCTGCTTTATAAGCCTTAATGTCATTATGCTTTAACACATGATGCTGTGGTTTACTGTATCTCTCACAGGTTGTGGAGTATACTGGACAGAGGTGCCCCGATGCTCTTGTGTGCAGTGGCTTCTGACTCCAGTCTTGTGTACCAGAGACTGTGTGAAGGCTTCCTGACCCCCGACCCTCCAGTGGACATCCAAGACCAAGGCCGCCGACAGCATCGCAAACGGAGGTTACAGACGTGAGAGAAGCACCCAGATGATACAGCCAGACTGTGATTCTTAGCTCTCCAGATGTGAGGATTGGGCAGTACTTCCAGTTCGAATGCATTTATGAACTCATATTATCTTTGAGGACGAGAGACTGAATTTATAAGATCAGCTTAGACATGGACCGTATTTGTGTGTATGAGTGGATCCATGCTGCTTTTGTCTGTTATACAGAGTATTACACAAACACAACACCACTGAGGTGCTCTTCTTTACTCAAATACTTGAAATGTCAGATGTGTAAAATTGCGCATTCCCAGAGAAAGCTGAAAAATACATTGGTATTTGTATTGTGTTTATAATCCATCTTAAAGGGATAGTTCACCCAGAATCCAAATTCTCATTATTTACTCACCTATATATATATATATATATATATTCCACAGAACAGAGCTGGAAAAAACATCAATAAACCAGATGCCTTTGCTTTTCCTTGGTTAGTTGATCATTGTGTATTTATTTATTCTTTTACTCAGCATCGCACTTGCATTTTTGGCAATATTGTTTGGCCCATCTGTGTACATACAGAACTTAAGCATACATGTGGGATACTGTTCACTTTAGTGTGAAATTAATGGCTTACTGTTGTCTCTCATTTCAGAAAAGAAAACACTGTTCCCTTAAGGCTATGGCAAATTACTGTCACACTGTAAAAGGAAGAAGCACTTTCAGGTAATAAAAACGTAGCTATGTAAAACTTTCGGAAGGCTGGTTTTGAAACTTGTACTGGTTTTCAACTCAAGAATAGTGACTATAAATGTCAAGCAAACGTATGATATCCACCTGTAGAATATAGAATAAAATGAGTTATCTGAAAACTATATGACCTTAAGATACTGTAACTGGCGTCTCTAAACACGGCTAGATGCTGTGATCTATCGCCACTGCCCAACACATCCTCAAGACCGGCCCTGAAGGAACTGCACTGCCCTTATCTAACAAACAAATCTAGTGATGATACATACAGCACTGCTGTCCTGAGCATTGTAACATAACTCAAAGAAAAAGGTCAAAAAGACACACATAATACACTGTGGGTGAAAAATACTTGCTCACGTCGTTAAAAAAACAATTGGAATGCTAGAAATGGCCTTGTGTTTGTGTCCAAACGCTTTCACTTCCTGTGTCTCAACAGCATGACCTGGACAAAATCACGTTAAGTCTCTTGGTAAGTCCTCCTAAGGAGATATCATCTCCACCGCTGGTCTACCACGTGTAGTGTCCATGTCAAAGGAAGGGCGAATTCCAGGATTCTCCGCATGGCTCTCTCCACTGTATGTAGTCTATGAGTAGGAGAAGGCTTATGGGTAGTGTAAGGCAAGGGATTGAGGAACAGTCTGAAAATGGCTTTCCCATTCAAAACTTGGGCCAAATCCCAGTCTCCTTAACCATGGGTTTTCCATGCCCCCACTACCGTTTAAATACTAGTCCTCAAGAGTCTCAAAAACGGACCTGTAAGACATTTGGGAGAGTGTGTAGATTGTAAACAGAGTGGATAACTGGGCTGAATGTCACTTGATCCCACGCTCTTGAAGATGAATACTTATTGGGTAAGGAGGCATGGGGGAACTTTGGGACAGGGATGACTCAATGTTGGCGCGAGTCAAACGTCTCAGCATGCTATGTCATATCCTCATCCTCTGAGCAGTAGTCCCGTCCCTGTAAATATAAAAGTCGTATAAAGAAAAGGCACCTCGAAAAGCAATTAAAATAGACAGGTATAGTATATAATATTATAATTCCATGCATATTCTTCCATTTTTTATTATTTAAAGAAGAAACCAAACCAATGTATAGTTGACATTTGAGGCTTGATGCTATAGAAAAGCAATTCACGTTTTTTCAGGAAGAGTGTTTTTAGCGTGTTCATTTTCATAGAAAAATATGGCACGCAGTTGCTTTAAACAATGGTATAAAGCTATTCAAAACATCATTCAGGATGATAATTACGATAATCGTAATTAGTAATCGCAATTACAATTTCAAGGGAATAATCAACAATAATGATTTTTGTCATAATTGTGCAGCCCTACTTTCCACCATAAGGTGTTCTGTTCTGAGTGTTTTTAGCACATCACTATGTGGTTGCTAGGGTGTTCTGGGAGGCTGTTGGGGCCAATTCAAAAGAGCCCACCTCAAAGTATTTATGATATTCTGGTCCCTTTGTCTACCAGGCAAAAATCATAATTAAAATGGATTGGAAAAGCACAAACAGTGTGTGATGAACTGTGTATTACTCGTGGTTAAGCTGAAAGTGTACTTCTATTTTGATGCAAACACCTAAGCCCAAAGTATACGTTGGTTTTTGTGCAAATGCTTAAGCACAAAGTATATTTCAGTTTTTACTAGGGTTGTAATGGTACATGTATTTATCCCGAACCGTCACGGTTCGGTTCATGCAGTCAGATGACGAATACAGTCAGTCAAAGGCAATCAATCCAGAAGGGGGTGATTACGGTAATGCAACGCTAACCGCAACAACAGGAATAGGAACCGGTTTTTAGTTTTATTTTGGCCGATCTCTGAAGCTCTGATTCCACCTAGAGCTGCACAAAGCAGAGACAGCTTTGGCCTTGTCCCTGACTAGACCCCTGAGCTCACCACCATTCCCTTCTTCTCTCCCCACACACTCTTCCTGCGAGAAACCAGGTGCTACAGAGGATGAAATAGTGTTGGCTGTTCTTCTCCTTTTCCCCCTGGAACTGGTACGCCATTTCTGCCATTTTGAGTGAGTGTTCACTGTGCACTTGGATAGGTTAAATCCATACACAAATTCCGAGTATGGGTCACCATACTTGGCCACACGTCACTTCACTATACTTCAAAGTATATTTCTGTTTTTAACCAAACACTTAAGCCCAAAGTATACTTCGGTTTTGACACAAATGTACAGCTGAACACGTAGCCTTTCAATGTATACTCCATTTAGTGTGCGTAAACTCAGGCAGTCGACACATGCGCACTAGTAGATTTCATCATTGTCCAGTGTCTGTGCTACTTCTCTCCCAAAACTGTGACTGCAAAAATGTCTCTGTACTCATTTCAACTAGACTTGAGGATTTCTGCTAACCCCCTGAAGGCCCGGGTATACTTCATTTTCAATGTTCTGCTCTATCTCATGCACAGCTTTTAAAGTATAACCACCCATGGATGAGCACAGATGGATGAGTTTGACACATGTGGAGTACCACCTAGTGGACTCTTTCTGTCTCAACATTCACCTCGTGCCTGCAATGTTGTACGCACAGATGTCCGCGGACACTCCTGATGATGAAAATTACAGCATTCGGACAGTGCACAGACCGTCACAGAACGGAGAAGACTGAAGTATATGTTGGGCTTGGGACAAGTACTCATCAACGCAGCAGTCTCATGTTGTCTTGAGTAGTTGTTGTTGTTTTTCCGTCTCCATTTCTTTGTTGACTGTGAAACAATGACCCAGGACCGTAGTAATTTGTGCAAAAAAAATGATCGGCGTATATGCAAGCTGAGCGTATATAGTACGCGTGGTTTGAAAAATCTGGCTGCATGCATACAGTACATGCATAAAATTTAAAATCACACACACTGTATGCATACCTTAGCGTAAAAACCAAAGTATACTTTGGGCTTTAAGGACTTGACAAATCCTCTCACCCTATGAGCAATAGTAATGCTACTTCACACACCTTTTCAATCTTCTCATCCAGCATCCTGAAGAACTCCTGCTGGCTCTCTGAAGAGTGGATACTGAGGAACAATCAAGACTTGGTGACCATCTCATTGGTCATCTTCTCTCTATTACTGAATACTTGTTACTCAAGAGCAGAAACCAAACACAAACTCACCTTATCTTATTACTATTCCCGGTGGCATCTTTATGCCTGCCCTTGTGCAAAAATGTGCTCTTTTCCTGCAAGACATAAAGAAGAAAAATTAATGTTCTCCAGGATGGTAAAATTATTATTTGGAGATACATAATAATATGGATCATGTATACTAATGCATCAATCTTTACCAAGTTCTCTTGGTTTTGTGTGTTCGTGCGCTCCTCTTCTCCATGCATGTACTTCACCTTCTCAACTCCTTTCAGTTTGTACTCATCTACACAGAAAGAGTAAAGTACACTTAAAATCACCTGGACACCGGATTCTTAATCCATTGTACTTCAGAGTTAAACAACATATTTAACAAAATAACCCTGAATTACCACCAATACTCACAAAGAAATTTCTTTTAAATAAATTGCATTTATGGATCATGTACAATAACGTATTATATCAAGTACATAAAAATCAAGTACCAGGAATGTACTAAGAAAGAAAATAGTCCATTTTTATTTTATATTGACTTTAAGGTTGCTTATTTAACCCCAGAAGAACAAGGCATGACCTGTCATCACTGTTGAAGGGCAGTTAAATCCAGGTCACTCCAGAGGGACTGTTTTTAATAACTGAACTGTAATTCACTTTGGATAGAAGCACCTGCTAAATCACCACTTACACTAATAGGACTGTAAAGGCTGATTTGTTATAAACTGTATTCCCACTGCGACACCAACAAGAGCTTCAAAATGATACCACTTCTCAAGTTCATTTAGACCCATAGCTGTCTTTTTTGGTCATATATATATATATACATATATATATTTCCCTTAATAATAAAAACCTTCATTTAAAAACTGCATGTTGTGTTCACTTGTGTTATCTTTTACTAATATTTAAATTTGTTTGATGATCTGAAACATTAAAGTGTGACAAACATGCAAAAAAATAAGAAATCAGGAAGGGTGTGTGTAGGGTGTATATATATAGGTGTGTGTGTGTGTGTGTGTCCTTTAAAAATTTGAGTTGATACATTTTTGAAAATGTTTTTGAAAGAGGTTGTATGCTCAATACAGTAAAAACAGTAATATTGTGAAATATTACAATTTGTTTTCTATTTTAATATATTTTAAAATGATAATTTATTTCTTTATTTTTGTGACGGTCAAAAAT